TGAATATTGATAAGAATTGGTTGCCGTCGACATCATCATGTATTCAGGGGAACCACCATCTTTATGAGGGTCCATCATCGCATTAAAATTTTCAATGTACCGAACAGGCAAAGCACCAACAAAATAATTGCTGGAGAGGTCCAGAACTCGCAACTTGGGAAAAGATGGACTTTCTTTGGTGCTCTGCACAGAACCATGGAACTTGTTGGACCTTAAGACAAGCACTTGAAGGTCTGGTAGAGATTCCAACCAATGAGGGAATGTATCACTTATGTTGTTGTTGCCAACGTCTAGAACCTCTAACATGCGACAATTCACCAAAGACCTTGGTAATAAGCCGTCCATTTGATTTCCATGAAAGTTGAGATTTCGTAATCCACAGCCCTCTGGAAACCCAAATGCTATATTTCCATCAAAGTAATTGGCCTGCAAATTCAGCACTGAGAGAGACTTGGGAAGACAATTTGGAATCTTCCCAATTAAGCTGTTATGAGAAAGGTCAAGAATTTCGAGATTTTGAAGTGCCGAGAACATGTCAGCTTCTACTAAATCAGTAAAATGATTTGATGATAAATTGAGATAATTAAGATTTACTAAATTAGCAATTGAGTTAGGAATTGAGGCCTGGAGTTTGTTGTTTGACAAATCTAGCTGTGTGAGTGAGTTTTGCCGGAATTGATTTATTTGACCTTGAAATTGGTTATGACTAAGATCCAAGTACTCTAACAAAGGTAGGGTGAAAATCCAAGGTGGCAACATGCCATTAAGTAAGTTATAAGAAAGGGAGAGATAGGTAAGTTGGGTGAGGTTTGCAAGTGATGATGGGATTTGTCTGTTAAAATTGTTAGAAGAGAGGCTTAGTTGAGTTAGTTGAGATAAGTTACCTATGGAAGCTGGAATGGGACCAGAAAACTGATTATAGGAAAGGTAAAGATAGGTAAGTTGGGTGAGGTTTGCAAGTGATGATGGGATTTGTCCGTTAAAGATGTTAGAAGAGAGGCTTAGGTCAATTAGTTGAGATAAGTTACCTATGGAAGCTGGAATGGGACCAGAAAACTGATTTTTTGCAAAGTAAAGAGAGGTAAGTTGGGTGAGGTTTGCAAGTGATGATGGGATTTGTCTACTAAGATTGTTAGAAGAGAGGTCTAGGCCAGTAAGTTGCCTTAAGTTACCTATGGAGGCTGGAATGGGACCAGAAAACTGATTATTTGAAAAGTAAAGAGAGGTAAGTTGGGTGAGGTTTGCAAGTGATGATGGGATTTGTCCACTAAGATTGTTAGAAGAGAGGTCTAGGCCAGTAAGTTGCCTTAAGTTACCTATGGAGGCTGGAATGGGACCAGAAAACTGATTATTGGAAAGGTCAAGAAAGGTAAGTTGTGTGAGGTTTGCAAGTGATGATGGGATTTGTCCGCTAAGATTGTTAGAAGAGATGCTTAGGGAAATAAGTTGAGATAAGTTCCCTATGGAAGCTGGAATGGAACCTTCCAAGTTGCAGCCAAGATACAGATACTGTAATGACTTAAGATCTCCTACAGACTCTCGCAATCGCCTTCCGCAATCCATATTATCTAAATACAACTGTTGGAGAGGACTGCTCCAATTGGAACTTGGAAGATCAATAGTGAGGTTCTGGTTTCCACTTAAATAAAAATTCTTGAGATTTGGAAAGCAGAAAATACTGTTTGGAAAGTTTCCTCTTAATGCACTCTTCCAGAGATCAAGAGTAGTCAATGAAGAAGAGAGATTCATGAAGAAACGAGGATTAACAGATGTCATGTTCACTCCACTAAGCACAAGTTCTCTCACCTCGCTCAAGTTGTGAACAAGATTTCTGAAGGTAGTTGTTTCAAGGATCAATTCAGGAGAATCATCCCACCAGAAGAATCTAGAGAGATTGCGAGAAACTAACTTGGGGAGGTGAGCGATTTCTGTTGGAACTTGGCCCGAAAATCCAGAAGAAGAGACATCAAGATGCTTTAGTCTAGTAAACTGACTGATTTCTGGTGGAATCTTGGAAAGCCTAAAATCATTCCAGGCAAGATTGAGGCTTTGTAGGTTTCTGAGGAAGAAAAGAGTGCTGTTGGAAGGAAAGGTGCCATAAAGGAAACTGCAGCTGAGATTAAGGGCAATTACATGGCCTGTGACATTATCACAGCTAACCCCA